CTAATTAAGATTGTTAAACCTTTTGAAGGGAACATAGTTTTTTTCGATTTTGACTGAATTGATCGGAGCGTGCACAAGCAACAGAGAGAGAGAGATCCTCATAGTCATAGGCCAGTCGACTATAAGGGGATAGGGCTGCTAGCGGCCTTTTGAGGCGCACGTCAGTCCACTCGGGAGGTCGGCGTTTGCGTGTGTGTATATATACCAGCCTCTGCACCGCTTCTCTTTTCACTAATCCCGCGCCCCCTCCCGGCCACTACCTGCCGCCGGTTCCTTCCTTTCCTCTTCTGCCGCGACCAATCCAGAAACCATCCAACGCTTGTCCCACGACGCGGCACAGCGCACCATGGCCGCTTCGGTCGAGCCACGGCAGTCGTCGTTCGGCCGCCTCGACGCGCCGGCCACCGCGCCGCCGGCACGCAACGGTTCCTCCAACGGCGGCATCCGTCGCCGCGCCGACTCGCCGGTGCGCGGCTGCGGGTTCCCCCCGCTCATTTCGCCGCCGCGGAAGGCCATCGTCGAGGAAGAGGAGCAGGACGAGGAGGACGAGGAGCCGGAGGAGGACTGGCGGGAGGCGTACGGCTCGCAGCTGCAGCTGGAGGTGGAGCCGTCGACGCGCGACCCGCGGGACGAGGGCACGGCGGACGCCTGGATCGACCGCAACCCCTCGCTGATCCGCCTCACCGGCAAGCACCCGCTCAACTGCGAGCCGCCGCTGGCGCGCCTCATGCACCACGGCTTCATCACGCCCGCGCCGCTCCACTACGTGCGCAACCACGGCGCCGTGCCAAAGGGCGACTGGGCCACATGGACGGTCGAGGTGACAGGGCTCGTCCGCCGCCCCGCGCGGCTCACCATGGACGAGCTGGCCAACGGGTTCGCCGCCGCGGAGGTGCCCGCCACGCTGGTGTGCGCCGGCAACCGCCGCAAGGAGCAGAACATGGTGCAGCAGACGGTGGGCTTCAACTGGGGCGCGGCGGGGGTGTCCACCTCCGTCTGGCGCGGGGCGCGCCTCCGCGAAGTGCTGCTCCGGTGCGGCATCATGTCGCGCAAGGGGCAGGCCCTGAACGTGTGCTTCGAGGGCGCCGAGGACCTCCCCGGCGGCGGCGGCTCCAAGTACGGCACCAGCGTGACCCGGGAGTGGGCGCTCGACCCGTCCCGCGACATCCTGCTCGCCTACGCGCAGAACGGCGACCCGCTGCTGCCCGACCACGGGTTCCCGGTGCGCGTGCTCATCCCCGGCTGCATCGGCGGCCGCATGGTCAAGTGGCTCCGGCGCATCGTCGTCACCCCCGCCGAGTCCGACAACTACTACCACTTCAAGGACAACCGGGTGCTGCCGTCGCACGTGGACGCGGAGCTGGCCAACGCGGAGGCGTGGTGGTACCGGCCCGAGTACATCATCAACGAGCTCAACACCAACTCGGTGATCACCACGCCCGGGCACGACGAGATCCTCCCCATCAACGCCTTCACCACCCAGCGCGCATACACCATGAAAGGATACGCATACTCCGGTACGTGACCCAGCTACCCGTCCATCCATTTTATTACGTTCTTTTGGAAAGTCAGAGGATCGAAAAGAGAAGCTGCTTGGTAGATTTGTTCTTTGTCTTGGTATATGTATTACATGACATGACGCCAAGGATGACGCAATTAGAGAGTATATACTATGCTTCCGTACGTAGCATTGACCATAAGGACCATATATATACCATATTTTATGCTCACGTAGGAAAAAAAAGTTGATGAGAGTAGTAATAAAGCTCAGCACCAGGACATCTGATCTGACCAAGCACAGGATACATTTTCTTACTTGATTGACATCGGTAGCATTTGGAAATGCCAGCTTGAGTGCGACAGTCCCTTGTTTTCTACTACTACTCTACTACTAACAGCTGAGAGGGGTGGTGGTGGCGGCCACTCATTGTTATTTTTACCCCTACCACCACCACTACCTCCATAGCATTGACCATATGATATGAGCCGACCTAGCTTAGTTGTCTCGTGGCAGTAGGCGAGCTTCAAAACCGGGTGCAAGAAGAGAAGAGAGATACCGTGTGTAGTTAAGTAGTTTTCCTTGTGGTTGAGTGCACTTTCTCTGCTAACCAAAAGATATATAAAACCTATGCATGCACTTTTCTTTTTTGACAAAAATTGCATGCGCTTTTCTTGTGGTTCTGGGGTCGCTGCCACTTGGTGCCGTCCAAAAGCTAAGGTAGCTGCTGGAGGCTGCCATGCAGTATACAACTGCTATAATATACTCCCTTCATTTCATAATATAAAAACGTTTTTGACACTAGTGTAGTGTAGTGTAGAGTTAAAAGATTTCTTATATTATGGGAAGGAGGGAGTAGTATAAAACGTTGCTAGCTCTTGGAATAGTCGTCTGATGTGTGGGGCCCGCGGCAAGGTTTGCCAAGTCGTACCTGGTGGAGTGCTGGCTTGGGTATAGAGCAAGGGACAAGCTAAAAGCGAGCCATATAATTGGAGGCACAACACAATTCGTGTGGCTAGCCGCAGCCACAAGCCAGATTTTTCTCCTATCCAGTAGTAGTTCAATAGTAACTCTAGTACACCTATTGATTTGGCTCTGCTACACTGCCAGCTTCCTGGTTCGGTTCACACAGTGAACCCATAAAATGCACTAAGGCTGGTCATAGTGGGAGTATCATATACTTGTATAATGCATATGATACTAGTGTATGATACTACATCTATAGTGCATAGTATCATAAGTTAGTAGTATCATAGATGGTCTTATTTATTGCCATGCATGACATATAGTAGCATCACATTTATTATGTTACGGTATCTACCTAGGTTACTATAACAATCTCTTTTTTTTAATTGCCTGCCACATAAGCATGTTTGCAAGTCCAAAGAGCATGATACTACTTATATTACCCCACTATGGCTAACCTAAAGTAGCCGAAATTCAAACGGGCTATAGTCACCAGAGAGGGACAAGAAAGAAAATGCTACGCCTACAAACATGTCTTATACTATACTTAACATGTGTAATTACCTTAAACACTAATCAAACTACCCCCCTGATTTCTAGGGTAGGCCCATGCCCCCAACTAGCGACGAATTAAAAACCGACAAATCAGCAATCACGTAAGGTACATAAGAATCTCCACCCTACGTAGGTGTAACATTACCCGGACAAAAAAGGCCCAAACAAAAAAGGAAGAGGGACTAAGTCGGAAAAACTATAACACCTAACCCCCATCCGTAGACCATCAACCAAAGCAAAAGCATCAGGCGAAGCCATGTTGCTAAGTCTCATCATTTGACAAATTACTAGTGGGGAAGTCAAAAGCAAGTAGGCAACTGAACAAAGCATGCCCGCATGATTCGTCCCATTTTGGAACGGGCACTTGTCCGCCAGCCAATCACCAACAAGTGGAATCGGAATCTAGCAGCAACACTTTCTACTGAATATTCCAACTTGGGCCTCGGGAAACGTGTCGAGGTTGCTTGCCGACACAAACTTCCTGCTTAAAAGAAGAAGAGGAAAACGTTGCGTTTGTTAAGTACCCCCTGTGTGCTCCATGACAAGACACATACATTTCCTATGAAAACAAACAACGCAAAGCTTGATCAAATTTACTGGAAAACCACCGGCAACCATAACAGTAGATATGTATAATATGAAAACACATTTTATCGTATATTTAATGATATTGATTTTGTATTTTTAGTTGTTGAATGTTTCTTTATGTGGTCAAACATTGCCCTTTTGACTTTTATATATCAAAACCTTCTTTTCAAGCCAAGGAGGGAGCATCTCTTAACTATTGCACTAATTAATTAGGAGACGGTAATCATGTATCCTAGTACTCATGAAAATGAAGGAGTAAGTACTAGTACTTCAAAGAGAGATCCCCACTGATTCTAATTATCTCAACATGTCTTCTTTCACATCATCAAAATTGGTGCAGCCGTTCCACTAGGACCCGTCCCGAGCTACCCACGAAAATTCCTTACCATGCAACATGCACTAATGCATTCTATGTGGATTTTAAATCACATTACATTTAATTGTGACATGCATAATCTTTCATGTTAATATTTTTTTGGCTTATGCAAGAAAATCTCACATAGTTTAAATCGTAAGGGTTCTATTAGTATTTCACACATATTTAATAACTGTATATCCAACTCCGTAGCAACACACGGGGGTATCATCTAGTTAAGCCAGTGAGCGAACCACCAACTCATGATCACTTATTTCTTATCGTTGCGTTTTGTAGGTGGTGGTAAGAAGATCACACGAGTGGAAGTGACTCTGGACGGCGGCGAGAGCTGGATGTTGTGCACGCTCGACATCCCGGAGAAGCCGAACAAGTACGGCCGGTACTGGTGCTGGTGCTTCTGGTCGGTGGAGATCGAGGTGCTGGACCTCCTTGGGGCCAAGGAGGTGGCGGTGCGCGCGTGGGACCAGACCCACAACACCCAGCCGGAGAAGCTCATCTGGAACCTCATGGGCATGATGAACAACTGCTGGTTCAAGGTGAAGGTCAACGTGTGCCGCCCCCACAAGGGCGAGATCGGGCTGGTCTTCGAGCACCCCACGCAGCCGGGGAACCAGACCGGCGGCTGGATGGCGCGCCAGAAGCACCTCGAGACGGCCGAGGCGGCGGCGCCGGGGCTCAAGCGGAGCACGTCTACTCCGTTCATGAACACCGTCGCGGACAAGCAGTTCACCATGTCCGAGGTGCGCAAGCACGGGTCCAAGGAGTCGGCGTGGATCGTGGTGCACGGCCACGTCTACGACTGCACCGCCTTCCTCAAGGACCACCCCGGCGGTGCCGACAGCATCCTCATCAACGCGGGATCCGACTGCACCGAGGAGTTTGACGCCATCCACTCCGACAAGGCCAAGGCGCTGCTCGACACGTACCGCATTGGCGAGCTCATCACAACGGGGACGGGCTACAACTCTGACAACTCGGTCCACGGCGGGTCCAGCCTCTCCCACCTCGCCCCGATCCGCGAGGCCACCAAGGTCGCCGGCGCGCCCATCGCTCTCTCCAGCCCGCGGGAGAAGGTCCCCTGCCGCCTCGTCGACAAGAAGGAGCTCTCCCACGACGTCCGTCTCTTCCGCTTCGCGCTGCCGTCCTCCGACCAGGTGCTCGGCCTCCCCGTCGGCAAGCACATCTTCGTGTGCGCCACCATCGACGGCAAGCTCTGCATGCGCGCCTACACGCCGACGAGCATGGTCGACGAGATCGGCCAGTTCGAGCTGCTCGTCAAGGTCTACTTCAAGGACGAGCACCCCAAGTTCCCCAGCGGCGGCCTCATGACGCAGTACCTGGAGTCGCTCCAGCTCGGCTCCTGCATCGACGTCAAGGGCCCGCTGGGGCACGTCGAGTACACCGGCCGCGGCAACTTCGTCATCAACGGCAAGCAGCGGCGGGCGCGCAGGCTGGCCATGATCTGCGGCGGCAGCGGGATCACGCCCATGTACCAGGTGATCCAGGCCGTGCTGCGCGACCAGCCGGAGGACGAGACGGAGATGCACCTGGTGTACGCGAACCGGAGCGAGGACGACATCCTGCTGCGCGACGAGCTGGACCGGTGGGCGGCGGAGTACCCGGAGAGGCTCAAGGTGTGGTACGTGATCGACCAGGTGAAGCGGCCGGAGGACGGGTGGAGGTTCAGCGTCGGGTTCGTGACGGAGGACATCCTGCGGGCGCACGTCCCCGAGGGCGGCGACGACACCCTCGCGCTCGCCTGCGGGCCGCCGCCCATGATCAAGTTCGCCATCTCGCCCAACCTCGAGAAGATGAAGTACGACATGGCCAATTCCTTCATCTCTTTCTGATGAAACAACATTTCTCCTCTCTCTGGTACGTAGCATGCATGCTGCTGCCTATACAAAACCACCGCGTCGACGCATCAATCTGTGCATGTACCCAATGTTTATATGTGTCTGTCGAAAGTATTTGTTCATTAGAGAACCGTATGTACGTGCATGCGTGATTGCATGAATTATACTCTGTAGGTTGTATGTACGTACGTACACTTGTTTCCTAGAGTACATTGGACGTGGCTTCGGTTGAGGGTCTGTTTATTCCTTCATGTACACTACCTAGTATGTAAATAAGATTGATTATTCTTCTATCTAAATTGTTAAAGCCGCTGCCAATATATAAGCATATGAGGACAATCTCATTTTTTTCAAAATCAATGTATTTACATGGATCATTGCACTCTAATTTTTGCCCAGTAGCCTCGCTCAAATCTTCCACAAAATGGCCGGTCGTAGTTTCCTCTCCGGACGTGGAAGCACCATCTGACCCTCCTTGTCCTGCCCAAAACCCCATTGTGTTGAAACAAATATCAATTTTTAACTTAGATTAATCCAAAAAAGAACCATGGGAATCATGTTAGAATAAAATAATCATTAAAAGGATATTGTAGCCGCCGCCTCCTCCTTCTCCTCCACAAAAAGCTAGGGTTTTTGCCTCCCGCCGCCGCCGCCGCAGGTCCGCCTCCTCTCCGATGGCCTTAGGGCCATGGGGCCGCAGTGGATCTCGGCAAGGGTCGGCGGGAGGGCTCTGTTTTTAATCGTTTCTTTCAGTTTTGCTAGGGTTTGTGTCCTGCTCAGGAAGACGAGACGGCGGCGGCTCCCTGAAGATGGAATAAAGGTCTCCCCGCCTAGTCCCCGTTCCGGCGATGCGTCTAGCATCGTTGGTGAGCGTGTGGAGGTGTGTCTCCGGCGGATCTATCTTTGGTGGATTTGCTCGGATCTCGTCGTTGTTCGTCTACGTTCGCGTGTCTTCGGATTGGATTTTTCTGATCTACGTTATTCTTTATCTGCGGCGGTTGCTGTTCTGGTGCGCTGGTCCTACGGGGCCTTAGCACGATAACTTCCCGACTGTCTACTACAACAAGTTGTGCCCGACTCTGGTGATGGAGGGGCAATGACGGCGGCGCGCATTCGGCTCGCTTCAGTGCTGGTAGTTGTCGCTACGTGGTCTACGGATCTGGATGTGATTTTTATTATTTCTGGTATTCGTTGTACTGCCATGATTGAGGATGAATAGATTGGAAATTTTCCCGCAAAAAAATCATTAAAAGTAAATTAGACATGTGGGCAGTATTCATCAAAAAGGAGGTATGCGTCACCACATGCAAAGAAGGGTTAATGGCGTCGTCGTCGACATTTTGAGCACCACAAACAACAAGTGTTCAAACTATGTTGCCATGCTCGCCGATATGTGCATCTTTCCTGGCCGCGACCAAGAAGAAGCACGTCCAGTGGAATTGTGACAAGTGTCATAGCGTCCAAAAAGAAAGTCGATGCGATCTCCAAGGGCAACAACCACTAGTAGAAAAGGGCCTAATGTGAAACACATTAGTCCCGGTTTGTAACAAAACCGGCACTAATGTGATCATTAGTGCCGGTCTCAACGGCTAGGAGGGCGGAGATCATTGGTATCGGTTCGTGGCGAACCTTTAGTACCGGTTCGTGCCACGAACCGATGCTAAAGAGGCTGTTGCAGGGTGTGGTCAGGCTGGGCCCCCACCAACACCTTTAGTACCGGTTCATACCATAAATCGGTACTAGAGGTTTTTAGTTGGTTCATTCTGCAGCGGTTTTTTAGTCCCACCTCGCTCCGCTAACAGAGTTTTTATCACCTTAAATATATTACTTCTCAAACTATCACAACCACTTGATCTTCATTGAACTCTATGTGTAAAATTTGTGGCCACAATACGAGTCTTCTCCGGTTTCTAAACCGGTGAGGACTCATATTGACAATTCAGATTGTATACAAAAAGATCATTGATGATCAATGTATTTTTGATGTATTTCTTTGTCAGTAGCGCGTTTTGGCTGAAAGGCGGTACTGATCAATGTATATTTATGTATATTTTTACATATTTACACAATTTTAATAACTTATTACAACTCCGGTCTTTTTTTTGCGTTCAAATGCACAATTCAAATCCACGTCATCAACTTTCAACTCTTTCTGACATAATTTGCTATTTTTCGATGCATTTACTGATTTGTTTTGAGAGCTAAATGACAGTGAAATTGAAAAGCACTACAAAATGAATTCTGGAAATGTTGAAACTTGGCAAGGTATCATCATTTCACCCACATAGCATGTGCAAAAAAATAGAGAGGGTTACGGCAAAAACTGGATGCACTTCGTATACAAACTGGACAATCTCTTTCGAAGTATCATGATTTTAGACGAAAGCTCATCTGTTACACCGGCTATTCAATATTTTAATAACTTATTACAACTTCGGTCTTTTTTTGCGTTCAGATGCATAATTCAAATCCATGTCATCAACTTTCAACCCTTTCTGACATACACTACTAGGGAAAACCTTATACACAGAAATTTAGCAGTAGCGCGGGTCAAAAAAGGCGCTAGAGCTAGATAGCAGTAGGGCGTGAGGAAAAATGGCGCTACAGATAAAATTGTAGTAGCAGCGCGTGCGTGTGTAAAAGCGCTACTACTAATATTCCTATTGCTTAGACGATAGGCTACGCATAGCAGTAGCGGGCTTGGAAGAAGCGTGCTACCGCTAGGGAGTAAGTAGTAGCGCGTTTCCTACGAAAAACGCTACTGCTAATGGAAATAAAATAAAATGAAAAACAAACAGAAAAGTAAATGAAAATGAAAGAAATAAAAAGAGGAGAGAGGGAAAAATAAAATATAAAGCAAAATAAATGAAAAGGCGAAAAAAGGAGAAAGGCATAGCAGTAGCGTGTGTTCGTAAGAGGCGTTATAGCTAATGTAGCTGCAGCGCGTTTCTTGGACCCCGCTATAGAAATAGAAAAGGAAATTACATAGCTATAGCGCGTTTTGCGAAATGCGCTACCGCTAAGTTTGACTTAACCAAAAAACTGTTCCCCCCCGGCCATCACTTTTCCCCCAAATCCCTCGACCCACCCCGCTGCCGTCTCCCCGATACGCCGTCGCCCCACTTCGCTGCCGTCTCCTGCCAACGTCGACGCCCCCGGAGCCACCAGAGCCGCGCGACGTCGACGTCACCAGAGCCGCCCCCAACGCCACCGATGTTCTGCCCCTCAGGAAGGATGTGAAGTTTACGCGCCTCCGATTGAGGGTCTGTTTATTCCTTCATGTATACTACCTAGTATGTAAATAAGATTGATTATTCTTCTATCTTGTTCTTCAGGTCAGGGGAATATCCGAGAATATACTGGAAATAGTTGCAAGAATGATAATACAAAGGGAGTTCTTGGTCTGTCTGCCTGTATATTAATTGTGCCCTAAAAAAGTAGCTTGGTTGTTTTCGAAAAAAAAAACCTTGTCTGTTCTGAGTCCGAAGGATCAATTTCTCAAAAAAGAAACATCACCATTTAGGACATCTTTGATTCATAGGAAAAGTAGAGAAAACCGTATGAATAACGGATTTTTCTATGGTGACATTATTCATCTGTTTGATTCAAAGGAATTGACAACAGGGAAAATATAGGTTTTTTTTCTCCTTTGGACCGAGTTCCATAGGAAAAGAAAAAATAATTTTTACCATCTAGCTAGTCAAGCCTCTTTTTTACTCCATTGGTAAAACGTCCTAAGGATCCAAATGCTCTAAAAATCCTATGGAATTCCTTGCCGCGACCAAGAAGAAGCGCGTGCAGTGGAACTGTGACAAGTGTCATGACGGGTCCAAAAAGAAAGTCGATGCGATCTCCAAGGGCAACAATCTTGAGAATATCATCATTGTTCTACTTGTGATCACCGACCGTGGCACCAAATAAGCCACTATTGAGCATCTAGTATGCGTCTATTGAGCAGCTTATTCCGTGTCACGGTTGGCGATCATGGATAGAAGAACAATGATCATCTCAAGGTCATAGCCCTTGGTGATGGCATTGAACTTTGCACGGACTCCCAATTGTCGGTTCCTCGGAAGCAGGAAGGACCGCGGCGGTGCGCAACGAGATGTGCGCTACAGTTAGCTTGGGCGCAGGCAAGCGAAGAGGCGCCATCGTGCGATGGCTGGGCTGGGCGCCCGTGCATCCGGCCATGCAGCCATGCAGCAGTGCGATGCGATGCGGCGGTGCGACTTGAAAGCGCCCGATCTATGTCTAGATCACCAGCTTCTACTGTATAGTAGTATCTTTCTTTCTCCGGTGGATGGTTTTCTCCACTGTCTGATTACGAATCTGACACTCATTAAGTATCCAATTAACGAATTCTGACCCCTGAGCAGCGCCAATGATCGATGGGATCTACCGTAGTATTACTAGCTAGTGTTTCTCGATGTCGATTAGATTCATCGCGGCTTCCGCTACGCGTCCACATGTATGCATGCATGCATGCATACGGGGATCGGCGACGCACGTGGTGGCATCTCATCACAACGTATGTACTGACGTAAAACGAACTCGTATCTGCTTTACTTTATGGAATTCGAGGGGAAACCCCTTCTGCTCAACAACAACAAAAATGTACTGACATAAGTGCATGCACTGTTGATAAATATGCAAAGTATACTATATTTGCTTGCCTGAGGCTGCTGCTGCCAGCTGCAGGGTCATGCATGCTTCGTACCACTGTTCGGGCTCGAGCTCGAGCTGCGATGCTGTTGGATTTTCCTTCCAAGTGAAGGGCTAGCTAATTACTCCTATTACTACTAGTACTAATCTGCAGCTTAATTGGCCTCATTCCCTACCTGGGGGCCGGGGTCACGGGGTGCACAAATTCAAAGGCCGTCTTCATGCATGGGGCGGGCTTAATTGGGAGCGCCAATGTAGTATATATAGTTCGTGGTGTTATGATTAACTTTTGTTCTAGTGTTCCATTTTTATATAAAAGTGTCACTCATTACGACCATGATCTCAGTAGCTTTTGTTTTGCGTTCCATTTTATATTCAAGTGTCACTCATTAGGCTCATGATCTCAGTAACCCCATCCATTCTTTTATGTGCCCTTTCTGGATATCCAATGCAGATCCTGTCCACTGCGATTTCTAACTACATGTAAAGCTACATTATTAAAGCCTAACGATGTATATATACTAATAAGCATGCGAGGACAAATCTCAAGTTGAATAAAAATCAAATCAATCAATGTATGTCCTTGTATCGCTCTACCTCCTTTGTATGTCTACTATGTATGACATCTTCAATGCAAGCCCTCAAAACGGACACCGCAAATGTCTGGATGAGAGAGAGACAGAGATACATAGATAGATAGATAGAGACCGAGAGAGGTAGAGATAGATAGAGATAGATTGAGAGACATAAATAGATTGATTGATAGATAGATAGAGACAGAGAGGGGTAGAGATAGAAAGAGATAGATTGAGAGACATGAATAGATAGAGAAAGAGATAGATAGATATAGAGAGATACATAGAGAGAGAGAGAGAGAAAGAGAGAGAGAGAGAGAGATACATAGATAGAGATAGAGCGAGAGATAGATAGAGAGATAGATAGATAGATAGATAGATAGAGGGAGAAATATAGAGATAGATAGATAGACAAACCGATAGAGAGAGA